TCACGTGGACCAGAGGGAACCAAGCTGATACTTATAAAGCTAGTCGCCTGGATCGGAGTCTGTGTAATTTGGGGTGGAATGAGACCTTTCCGAACACTTCAGTAACGCACCTCCCCCGCATAAGCTCTGATCACCACCCGATCCTTACTACTGTGTCTCCCCAGGTTGTCCCTGCTCATGCTCCTAAAAGATTCAAATTTGAAGCTGCTTGGTTGACTCATAGTAATTTCAAGGAGTTCTTGACTACTTCTTGGAATGCGCAGGTGAATCTTTCTCAAGCCCTTCAGGAGGTCACAGGGAAGCTGCAAGACTGGAACAGGTCTGTCTTTGGTAATGTGCACCAACGGAAGAAGAGGCTGATATCAAGGATTGCGGGTGTTGAACGGCGCCTGGCTACTACCTTCAACCCGGGTCTTGCTAAACTGCATTCAAAGCTGGAGGCCGAGTTAGATATGACTCTGGAACAGGAGGAGCTCCTGTGGTTCCAACGGGCTCGAGAGAACTGGGTTAAGTTTGGGGAGCGGAACACTGCTTACTTCCATCAAATGGCCAACATTCGGAGACGAGCCAATAAAATTGCGTCTCTGAAGAATGCCAATGGAGAATGGGTGCAGGATGTTTTGGAGCTCAAAACGATGGTGTTCGACTTTTATGTTGAGCTGTATATGCAGGATGGGGGAATGTATGCTGATCGGATGCCTAAGGAGATGTTCCCTCGGCTCAATCAGGAGGATTGGATGTGCCTTCTCCGCCCTTTCACAACCATGGATATTCACAAGGCAATTTTTGATATGAAGCCACTCCAGGCTCCAGGTCCGGACGGCTTTCAGGCAGTGTTCTATCAGAAGGCGTGGAGTGTAGTTGGAAAAAGCTTGACAGATATGGCTATCTCTTTCTTTGAGGGTGGGGTTCTCCCAGAGGAGGTTACCTCTTCAACGATGGTGCTCATCCCGAAGGTGGAGAATCCTGAAACTGTTAGCCAGCTCCGCCCCATTTCTTTAAACAACGTCTGCCTGAAAGCCATTACTAAGGCAATGACAAGCAGATTGAAGCCGATCATGAGGAAGCTGGTTTCTCCTCGCCAGAGCAGTTTTATTCCGGGGCGCCAAACAACGGATAATATCTTGGTGGTGCAGGAGGTACTGCACTCTCTCAGAAAGAAAAAGGGGAAGAAAGGCGGGCTGGTCGTGAAAATTGACTTGGAGAAGGCTTATGACAGACTCCGGTGGGATTTCATTCGCGACACGCTGTGCAAGATTGGCCTTCCTAGCTCTTGGATTCGGTGCATCATGTACTGCGTGGAGCAGAACAGAATGCGGATTCTGTGGAATGGGGAGCTTTTGCCGCCTATCACGCCTACCCGTGGAGTTCGACAGGGAGATCCTCTCTCTCCGTATCTTTTTGTCCTTTGCATTGAACGTCTTTCTCATAGAATTGACCAGGCCGTTCGGGACAAACTCTGGAAACCAATTAAGTTATCACCGAACGGCCCTGCTCTAACCCATCTGTTTTTTGCCGATGATCTTATGCTTTTTGCAGAGGCAGAGGGTGCACAGGTGCAGGTGATTAAGAGATGCCTGGAGGACTTCTGTGAGAGCTCAGGGCAGCGGGTCAGCTTTGCTAAATCCTCCATGTTTGTTTCGCCCAATGTCCATCAAGACAGAGCGCAACGTTTGAGTGACAGGGCGGGCATCCCTCTCACGAAGGACCTTGGCCGGTATCTGGGGATCCGAACCATTCACGACAGGGTCACGAAGATGCGGTATCAGGACCTTGTTCTTAGGATCAAGAAGAAGTTGGCTCCATGGAAAGCTAGGCGGCTGTCTATGGCAGCCAGGCTGACAGTAATTCGCTCGGTTTCCTCGGCGATTCCCACCTATCCTATGCATTCTGAGCTTATTCCTATGAATGTGTGCAATTCTATAGATAAGGTGAACAGGGATTTTGCGTGGGGAGATGAGGAGGGTCAGGGGAGGATGCATCTAGTGGCGTGGGAGAAGCTGCAGGAGCCGAAATGGCTAGGTGGAGCAGGCCTTCGAACCTTGAGGCAAGCCAACCTCGCTCTCCTAGCTAAAGGTGGATGGCGACTTCTGACTGAGAGGGATTGCTTGTGGACTCAACTAATGAGGGAGAAGTATGGGAAACAGCGTGAAGGCATGGCCATCTTCCGGCCTAGTCAGGGAAGTTCCTTTGCTTGGAGAAGTTTTAATAAAGCTTCTGATCTCCTAAGAAAAGGAGTGGCGTGGAATATTCATAATGGAAGGAAAACTAATTTCTGGCAGGACTTGTGGGTTTTGCAGGTTCCCCTCAAGACGATCGCGCTCCAACCCATTCCGACGGTCAAACTCGGAGAAATGGTGGCAGACTACGTGGATGCGGATGGCCATTGGGACGTTGCTCGCTTGGAACCATGGCTGCCCACGGAGATCATTCACAAAATCACAGCGATGGCGGTGGATCCCCTCTCGTCTTGCCCGGATACTTTGTTCTGGACGGCCTCTCCCAGTGGCAGGTTTACGGCTAAGTCAGCGTACCTGATGGCCTTTGCTGACAGATCAAACCAGAATGAAAGGCTCTGGCGGAAAGTGTGGCGGCTGCAGCTTCCGGAGCGCATTCGGGTCTTCACTTGGCTAGTTATGCTGGGGCGTATTGCGACTAATGGGCTGCGACATTTCAGGAAGTGTGCTCCCTCGCCGGCGTGCAGTAGGTGTGAAGGAGTGCCGGAAACCATCCTGCACGCTCTCCGGGATTGCCCGCCTGCCTTCTTTTTTTGGAACAAGCAAGTCCCGGAAGCAGACCAGGGGAGCTTCTTTTCTGCCAGCCTGGAGGAGTGGATATCCAAGAATGTTCTCAATGATGACTTGCTTCCCTCTGGTATGGCGTGGTGTGATTTTTTTGCAGTTGCTATCTGGCTTATTTGGCAGAACAGGTGTCAGATGTGCTTCCATGGGACGGCAGGAGCGCTCACCGCCCCGTCTCTGGCGCATGCGATCATGCACAAAGCCCCTCTCTGGCACAGTGCGTGGAAATCGGATAACACTGCGGATCTGCGGAATCCCCCTCCTGCGGCCGATAGAGTTGTGGCCAATATTGGCTGGAGTGCGCCTTCTCCGGGATGGCGAAAGCTTAACATCGACGGGGCCTCGGCGGGCAACCCAGGCTTGGCAGGTGCTGGAGGAGTTATTCGGGATGAGCAGGGAAGATGGGTTGCGGGGTTTGTGGCCCAAATTGGAGAAGCCACCGCGGGTTTGGCTGAGCTATGGGCTCTTTTTCATGGCTTAAACCTGGCTTGGAGTCACGGTTGCGTCAATCTGCAGGTGGAAACGGACTCCCAGTTGGTTATTCAGTGGATCAAGAATCGGGTTGACCCTCTCCACCCTCATGCCTCCCTCCTTTCCTCGATAAGGAGATGTTTGGCTCGAGATTGGTTGGTCAATATAGAGCATACATATCGCGAAGGGAATAGAGTCGCGGACTGGCTCTCGAAGCACAGTCTCGTCTATCCCTACGGTATGCATGAGCTTATTGACCCGCCAAGTAATCTGAGACGTTTCCTTCTTGATGACGAGATAGGTGTGACTTTTGAACGTCGAGTTGTAGCTTCGACTTCCTTGTAACCCCCTGTCTTCTTCTTTCTTGGCTTTTGCCTCCCTTAATGCAAAAAAAAAAAAAAAAAAAATAAACACAAAGAGAATAATTAAAAATTATTAGTAGTAGTAACCGAAAGGAAACGATTGGAATACTTACCTGTAAGTTGTAACAGCAAGAGATAGTGTAAAATAATAATCATCATCATGAAAAACAAAACGTAAAAGTAGAGGAAAGGCGTAGTACTAATAAACATAAGCAATTAATAAAAAAGAATTAAATAATTTGACCGGACCTGTAACCCACAGAACAAAATTAATGATGGTAAACTAATAAAAATAATATAAAACGTATGAACTTCCCTGATCCACTCGTCGCCGCCGTCGCCTCTGCCGGAGAATTTGGATTAACGGCGATGAAAGACAAAAACGTTCAATCGTCCTCGCCGCCGGCCTTCCCATCTCCAAATTTCAAGTTCTCGCTACGTGGATTAGGGTCTTGTTGCTGGCTCGCCGTCGTGGCAGCGATGGTGCACATGAGGGCTAGCACCTCGGGCTCCCTGACGCGGCGGAGGGCTTGGACGCGCTTGGCGGTGAGGAGATGGAGGGTGGCGATGCGGCGGAACTGGCGCCAGTAGTCGCCATAAGGGGAGTGGATGAGGTTGATGCCGCCGTACATGAAAAAAAAAGGGTGAGTTAATTGGATGTAATGTTTGCCAAATGCATTTTGTATGCTTTAAGTCTTTTTTTTTTTTTTGTTTACGTTATCTGTTAGTTTTATTGTTTGACTTTGGTTGACTAGTTTTCAAAAATAATTTCATAGGGAGTGAACAAAAATAACCTTAATCCGGCCCGTTCGTCCAACTCGATCTAATCCACTTATGTTTATCACTAAAATTAAGATTTAACGTAGTGTGAAAGATTTTTTCTGAAATTCATTTTTATTGATTGGATGCGAGTTTCGGGTTATGCAGCCAACGTAGATATCCTTCTAAATTGGTGACCCATTAAGTAACAACGTTCAGGTTCATACGGTATATATGAGTGGAAGCCAGAAAAAGCAACTAGGTATTTAATTTAATTTCCTGCTCTTTTCTACCTTGAAGTTTTCTCTTAATTTAACAAATCAGTTTTGTTGTTTTCTGAGGAGTGTTGCCCTAATGAGTTAGAGTAGTACGGTCTTACTCTTACACCTAAAAAGGACATGCGCTCTTATTGAAGAAGAAAAAAAGGACATGCACGTTTCCCATGCATGCAAATATATAGTACAACCGGACCAAGCTTGGCTCGCGTGCTCAGCTATATAAAGCTGGCAGATCCCCCATTGTTTCCTCACACCAAAAGTGCAAAAATTAATTGCTAGTCACTAATATCCTCTAGCTAGTTAGCAAAAGCTTCGCCTAAGTGAGTGAAAAAGAGCAAAATGGGCAGCATCGCCACCAACTGGAAGAAGCTGAGCGGTGAGAACAACTGGGATGGGCTGTTGGAGCCACTGGACGCTGACCTCCGGCGGTACCTCATCCACTACGGGGAGCGGCTGCAATCCGTCCACGACGCCTTCAACGGGGAAACCCTGTCCACTGCCTACGGGCTCAGCCGGTACCCCCCGGAAAATTTCTTCTCCCATGTCTTCCTCCAGAACGGGAAGCCGTACAAGTACCAGATCACCAACTTCTTCTACGCCTACTCGGAGTTAGCGCTGGGCGACTGGGTCCTCGCCGGACAGTCTGCCTGGATCGGGTACGTGGCGGTGAGCACGGAGGAAGGGAAGTCGGTGTTGGGGAGGAGGGACATCCTGGTCTGCTGGAGGGGCACTGAGACCAAACTGGAGTGGTTCGCAGATGCGGACTTCCCAACAATTCCGGTCGGCCAAGTTTATGGGACTACTCATAATCCCAAGGTCCATGAGGGGTTCTTTGGTGTCTATACTCACAACAACCCTGATTCTACCTACAGCAAGAACAGTGCCAGGGAACAGGTAATTAACGAAACCTTTTCTTCTTTGGGTGTTTTTACCTAGTTAAACCATTATGACAATCGTAGTGTTGCATATTATACTTACTACTGCCAAAAAATTAAAAAGTTTCAAACCCTATGGTCTCTCTCTCTCTCCAACCTAATTTGTTTCGTGTTCATACAGGTCCTGGCAGAGGTGAAAAAGCAGGTGGACAAATACCGCGACGAGGAAACGAGCATAACCGTGGTGGGACACAGCTTGGGCGCCGCCCTTGCAACCCTAAACGCGGCGGACATCGTGGCCAACAACTACCACAAACCAACGGATTCGAACGTCGGCTGCCTGGTCACGGCCTTTGCTTATGCTAGCCCACTTGTCGGCGACAAGGGCTTCTACAACATGTTCAATGCACTGACGGACCTTCGACTTCTCCGGGTCAGGAACTTCTTCGACCCGGTCCCCTCCCTCCCGCCCAAGATATTTGGGTTCGACGAGGTCGGGAAGGAGATTTTCATGGTCATTGTGTCACCTTTCTGTAAATCACCTCTCGACAACCCACACAACTTGGAGCTCTACATGCATGGAGTTGCGGGGTGGAACGGAATCATGCCGTTTAAGCTCATGGTGGAGCGAGACATCGCGTTGCTGAACAAAGGAGGGGATCTTCTCCTGGAAAAGCACAAAGTGCCGCCCAAATGGTGGAACGTGAAGAATAATGCAATGTACCAGCTGGATGATGGGTCGTGGGATCTCCGTGACTACATGCCTCCTCCTCCAGAGGCTGTCGTCCTCATATAAATCAATTTCTCAGAGGCTGTTAGTCGGGTGATAACGAATGTTGGTAGCCGCGAAGGGTTGAGCGTAATTACATCCTCTTAATCCTTATGGCCATCATGGGTCTAGTATAATAATGGGAGGATGTTAGTAAGTAATTTGGATTATGGTATTTACTAATAAATAAGTGAGCATGTGATCAAATGGACACCATAGGTGGAAGAAGCTTTGGTTGGTTTTGTTCTACTTTTCTCTTTTACTAGTTCTTTGGGATAAGTTGTGTTGTGTTGTGTTGTTTTAAATTTCGATTTTTTTTCCCTTTTTCTTCAATGTATCCGAAGGGACTTTGTGTAAGTTTCCGGAAGGAAAAGAATAAGAAGTGTGGTCAATCAGTTTGTTGTCGTTTGTGTAAAGCTAGCCTATGTATGCGGTTCCTATAAATATATGGTAAAACTGGTGTAATCCTGTAGCATAGTATATCTACTTTAGGTACTTTTAATGAGATATTACTATCTAGATCATGAATTAAATCGAGTTTGGCGTATGATATTATACCCTAACTTCTAATGGATAAACCCCAGGCCTCTATTCGCAAAACTCAAACCGGATGTTCAACTTAATAGAAAATATTAATTGACCGCTGCGATTGGTCGGAGCTCAAAAAAGGAGATATACCGGTCATATCACATGGAGTATGGTATACTTCTGGAGTATACCAGTCATTAGCGAGTTCTACGGTACCCCGGGTGAAATCCGCGATAACGCATACCTTGAGTATGAAAACGTGATTCAAACCTTGAATTGGTTGATCTTTTGGACATGATACTATACTCTAACCCATAAAGATCACAATATAGGTCTTAGTTCTCTAAATTTATCATCGAGATCAATTTAATTAGAAACATTAATCGACGGCTATGATTCATCCAAATATAGGCAATAAAACGAATCCTCCATCGTAGGGTTTGTAGTTTATGATTTAGATAATTAGCACCTATGGTTCACTCATTTAGGGTTAGGGTATAGTATCGAGCCCAAAAAAACTGCTAATTCGATGTCTAGATAGTATTTTCATACTCAATCTATCCTTCGTTTCTTTTTTTATCCCCGGACACATTCTTTTACTTTTTGCTCTGCTCAAATCCCTTTACCTCACCCGTCTCTCTTTTACGTCACTATCACCTTTAGTTTCTTAACTAAAAGTTAAGAGAACTTACCTCTGCTAATCACATACATCTTCTCTCCCATCTCCTTTAGTTTCAACAATATGACGGTGTTTTCTCTCGGCAAGGCCAATTTTTCTAGTGTTTAGGGACTAGGGAGGTATAAGAAGGTGGGTGATACCACTGACACTAAGAGTTGATCGGAGTTTGATGAACTCCCCACCACCATCCGTATACAGGCGGCGAATGGTAGTGGCAAAAAAATTTCATCTAGACGTTTGAGGTAAGAAAGGTGGTCAAGACATCAGATTTTAAACAAAGGGGATATATCAATGTATAATGGGTAAAATGATCCACGTTAACAAGATAATATTGAAATGCATCGAAAAAAGTTACAAGATCAAGGCCCTAGACATCCGAATATAACAAATCAAAAGGACGACTACTAGTGAGACTGGAGTCTCCGAAAGGGTGTTTATGACTCTTGTGGGATAGACAGGACAAACACGTTACAAAATAGCGGACTTAGACAGAAGCAAGGGGTTAACACGAAGAAGACGAGATAATGAATTGGAGGAGGGGTGGCCAAGTTGTTGATGCTAGGACTGAGTAGAGTTCCGAGTCATCACCAAAAACAACCAAACCGTCGAGCCTCCTCTAGGGAATTTATAGGTATCACCCTTGTTCCTTCATATCAGCAGTGGCGCCCAATGCGAAGGTCCTTCACAAGAAAAAAAACTAGAGAAGAATTCCACCGAGACAAGGTTAGTGCGACAAAGTTTAGCGACAGAAATTAAGTGCTGCTTGATGGCAGAAACACACAAGACATCATTAAGAGCAAGGGAGCGAGTAGAGGAGGGTAAGGACGATGAGCCGATGTGGGCGATGCGCAAACCTGAACCATCACCAAGGTTAACCTTACACTACAAAAGAATTGGGCTTTAACGAGGGGTAATTGGGCCGAGGGGATGAATTCCGGTCAGTAAAAGCAACATAATCCTCGGTCATCGACTTTAGTGTAGGGGATGTACTTTCCCCTCGTTATTGTTTATATAATTCCCATCGTTATTAAATTGGGGAAATAACTTTTTGGGAGGGCGGCAAAATTTTTTCACTTTCCCCCTCTTTTCTACTTTTCCATTATATTTGGCTCCCTTTCTCATAATTAATCCCTATCCGCCTTTCAATCTCAGAGATATCCGAGCCTTTCAATCTCAGAGATATGGACTCTGTAGCAGAGCCTCTGTCATTCACTGAATCGCCGTCGCTTACTGTTGGTTTCCGTTCCAATTTCACACTTGGAACTCGGGACCTGAACTTCGACGAAAGTTGAGGAAGAAGAAGAGGAAGCGAACAAGCTGCGGTGAATCACCAGTGAGTCGCGTAGTTGGTGTTTGCAATTCAGGCAACTCCCATTTTTTTATCTGCGTGCATTCTCCAAAAGAACGAAAGCCATACTTTTCAATCGGAACACAGGGTACGACTCTGCTTTCTTAAAACAAAACTACATCGGTATCTCCCCCTCGTCGATCTGTAGGAATCTCTGTGTTTCATGTTCAATAGGTAGGAATCTCTCAGTCATTGAGTCTCCTTCCACGTCTCTTTTATTTATAGATCTACTCACCAGATCTATTGATTTTTCGATCCTTCAAGATCTACTCATTATTTGATTTCAGATCCACTAAACCCCCAGATCTGGAAACCACGAGCGAGCTTCGTGTAGACTGTCATCACAAATCATCACAGATCCAGATCCAGATGAAGCTGCCCTCTGCCTCCTTTTCCCTCTATCACAGGCTCTGCTCTGCCTCCTGTGCTCTCTAGATCAACAAGCGATATTTTTTGCCAAAAAATCGATGAACAGAGCCAGAAAATTCATGAGAATGAAGTTGCTGGGTTAATTAGTTTATGGGGTTCAGTTCAGTAGAAGAGACGTTTTGGGTCTTGTAATTGTGAAATGCTTGATTTTTTGTTGTTGCTAGTTTTGTTTGAACAGGTGTTTGAGATTGTATGCCCAAGAAGGTAGATAGCCTTAATTTAGTTTTGGAAGAACATAATTATAATTGCCAGCGAGCTTGTATGAAAAAAGGTGCAGGGATGAGAACATTACAATTTATTAAACAAGAACAAAATTCTTCTTTCCGGATTATGAGCCTATCTTTAATATAATAAAAAATACAATAGTTGCACGGGAAGCTCCTCCAGCTTTTCGTATGAATATAACGAGAGTACATTGACCCTCGTAAAAGGTTTTAACGAGGGGTACAAAAATTCCGGTCGGTATTGATCTTTACCGGCAAGGCCAACAATGAGAGGAGGTATCCCGTCGTTAATAACATGTGACGAGGGTTTTTGGCCCTTTAACGACTGTTTTGTCCCCTCGTTAAAACCACTTTTTTTTGTAGTGTCATGAGGACCTGTGTAATCGGAGTAAAGGGCTAAGTTGTCGAGATCATTGGTAACATGATGTGTAGCCATCGAGTCCATGAGCCATGAGCAATCACAAGTAGAAGAGTTGGTTTGCGTGGTGTGAGTCTGTTGGTCGTGTGATGACGAATGTTGGTAGCCGCGAAGGGTTGAGCGTAATTACATCCTCCTAATCCTTATGGCGATCATGGGTCTAGTATAATAATTGGAGGGTGTTAGTAAGTAATTTGGATTATGGTATTTACTAATAAATAAGTGAGCATGTGATCAAATGGACACCATCGGTGGAAGAAGCTTTGGTTGGTTTTGTTCTACTTTTCTCTTTTACTTGTTCTTTTGGATAAGTTGTGTTGTGTTGTTTTAAGTTTCGACTTTTTGCCCTTTTTCTTCAATGTATCCGAAGGGACTTTGTGTAAGTTTCCGGAAGGAAAAGACTAAGAAGTGTGGTCAATCAGTTTGTTGTCGTTTGTGTAAAGCTAGCCTATGTATCCGGTTCCTATAAATATATGGTAAAACTGGTGTAATCCTGTAGTATATTATACTTCAGGTATTTTTAACGAAATATTACTATCTAGACCAAGAATTAAACCGATTTTGGGGTATGATACTATACCCTGACCTTTAATGGATAAACACAGACCTTTATTTGTTAAACTCAAACCCGATGTTCAACTTAATATAGAAAATATTAATTGACCGTTACGATTGGTCGGAGTTCAAAACAGGAGATCTATCGGTCATATCACGTGGAGTACTATGGTATACTTCTGGAGTATACCAATCATTAGCGAGTTCTACGGTACCCCAGGTGAAATTCGCGGTACCGCATACATTGAGTATGAAAACGTTATTCAAACCTTGAAATGGTTGATCTTTTGGACGTGATACTATACTCTAACCTTTAAAGATCAAAATATATGTCTTAGTTCTCTAAATCTTATACCTCAAGATCAATTTAATTAGAAATAATAATCGACGGCTATGATTCATCCAAATATATGCAGTAAAACGAATCCTCCATCTTAGGGTTTATAGTTAATGATTTAGATAATTAGGACCTATGGTTCACTCATTAAGGGTTAGGGTATAGTATCGAGCCCAAAAATTATGCTAATTCGATGTCTAGATAGTGTTTTCATACTCAATGTATGCATTACCCTGGATTTCACTCGGGGTACCGTAGAAGCCACCGTACATATATATACTAGGTAGTGATGTCGCCTTGTCATGTGACGGAGATGTCTTATGGGCTATGGGCCTATATTACGGCCCGTTCTGGTGCTTTATCATGAACTAATTTCGATCGTTTTGGATTTGGCTCTCACCCATCTCTCTTCTATCCTTCGTTTCTTTTTTATCCCCAGATACATTCTTTTACTTTCTGCTCTGCTCAAATCCCTTTACACCCGTCTCTCTTCTACGTCACTATCTCCCTTAGTTTCTTAACTAAAA